GAAACAACATTTCATTTGGGTTGCCCAAAGATGTGAACCTGCTCCAAGGTTATTTGGGCCCACATGCAGTATCCTCCTCTGCTTCTACTAGGATGCAATTAAGGGGGTTGGACGATTTAAGGGGTCAACTTAAATTCAATTAAAGATAGGGATGACAATAGTGCTGTGTCAGACGTATTCGTGTCATAAGTGTCACATCCCATCCCCCGAAAAGAGTTAGGGTGTTGTTAATCCTTAAATCATTGTTTAAACCACAATAATATAACATGTGTTTCATTAATCAAACTCATCTACTCAATAAACATTTACCTAGTAAATAAACAACTCAACGCAACATTAGAACAACTAGGGCATCATACCCTTAAGTGTTTTTACTACACATATACAACAACAACTAACAGAGTATACAAATTGATATCAACTTATCCACGTCAAACTAGAATGTTCAGTAGATCAACTCCTATATTCCAAGAATCTACAAACAAATAACTATTGGGAGGTAAGCAAACTACATGCTCTGTGAGAATATTTGAAATATATTAAACAGAAACTCATAAGCACCAGACAATTATATTTACATCTCACACATCTATACTACTAATAAAAGTACACTATCAAGAAATTTTTTTTGATTGATTACTTTAACCTCAAAATAATATATAAAAAAAATACTAGCCTTATTTAATTTAGACCTCATATTAAAAAGTCTTGATTGATGTTAAACTTTTAAGTGAATAACTTTACTCTCACAATACTAACATTATTAATATGGAATTTATATTAATAAAACTTCATTAATATTACACATATCTAAGCCTTTCATATTCTTTCTTTTAAAAGACAAAATTAATTATTAAAATAATTAAATTTACTTTTATTTATGTCTATCCATTTTCATTAGTTGATGACAAGTTTTTGAATTTTCAAATGAAATTGCATAAATGCACTAGAGTCTTATTTAGTATAAAATTTATTTTAATGTAATTTGGATAATATTATCAAACTCTAACTTTTCATTTTCTTCTCTTTTTATGTTTTAATTTTCATAAATTCTCTTTATTTATGTTTATTGGCAATACTAGAAACCATTTTATTTGTATCGATTAACAATATTACGAATATGTTCAGTCTCACATTAAATTACTTATCACAACTTAAATTTTTAAATTTCTTCAACCAATTGTTTATAATTAAATTACCAGCATAACTTAAAATAGTTCCCTTCCATAATTTTTATGATTTAATTAGTGTCTACGATAGTTTTTAGTTATATATACCCACATACTATAAAATATATTTGTACCATTACTATGATGTTGCGAATAAAATTAATCTAAATAATTAACTTAATGTGAAAAGTTCTAAAATTTAAGGATAGAGGTTTCCAAGAAAGTAATTCATCAAAACTTAAGAGAAAATAAAGCAATAAAAACTAATATTCGTTATAAAAATATGTAGTGTTATGTCTATTACAAATTACACAAATTATATAATAGAAATATTCAAAAGGTTATATTTAAAAGTAGGTATTTGTTATTTTATTTATTTAATTATTTGAAAAATAAAATCATAACTCAAAAAATCCACGTGCAAAGCACGTGTGCACAATCTAGTACACTTAAAATGGAATTCACGCTAAATATCTAACATCCAATACCCAAAAATTAATACCCAACATCCAAAATCTACTATCCAATGTCACATGATAATTAATGCTATATGTTTTCACCCGAGAGTCTCGACAATTATATCACAACTGTTAACGCCTAGTAGTCTTGGCAGTTCCATTGCTTCCGTATATGCCCAAAAGTCTCACGTATTATATTGCTACCTTTATACCTAGTAGTCTTGGCAACCTCATATTGGAAAGCATGCACAATCAATTCGAGTATTTAAAACCACACCCAACACCAACTCACAATCCTTAAACCATTAAGTCACCGTCTAGCCATTACAAATAAATATAGCTATTAACAAATAATCACCATTTCACAATTTATAACCTACTAAATTACCTTCTAGCTATTTTACATAAGTATAGCTAATAAATATATAATCACATTTGCAACCAATATGAATCAATACACTCACCCGGATTAAATCCAAACTCGAAGTCAATCTCCTTGTACAATTTTAGGTGCATCCAACATTGTTGCCGTCGCCTCAATACCTAACATACATCATCACAAATTACATAAATATCATTCTCGACATGTATTGTTATGTTACACATGCATAAATGATTAATTGGGTTTAACCCAATACCCATTTTCCTTTACTATAATGTACTCAAACTCTTAAATTTATCGAGGAATTTATAAATTGGGTTAATTGCAATGGAGGTCCCTAAAATATGAGATTTGTCTTATTTTAGTCCTTAATATTTTAATTATATCATTTTGGTCTCTACAGTATTGAATATGTTTTTATATAGTTCTTCAAGTAGACAACATCTAGATTGCGAACAATTTTTTATTATAAATTTGTTACGTAATACCTAAATATGGATAAAAAAATAATTTTGATAGCTTTTAAACAAAATTTAGGTAGCTCTTGATAAAAAATGTGCAATATAAATAACTTTTTGACTAAAATTGGGATAGCTCATGAATAAAACTGTATAATTTTGGTAGACATTTAACCAAAATTTGAGTAAAAATTTGATTAATGATTTTTCAAATTATTTTTTTTATTTATATTTAAGTATCACGTAACAAGTTTATAATAAAAAAATCGTTAAAAATCTGGACGTTGTCAGCTTGATGGACCATATAGAAACAAATTCAATATTTTAGGGATTAAAATAATGCAATTGAAATATTGGGGGTTAAAATGAGACAAATCCCATACTTTGGGACCCTCTCTTACAATTTAGCCTTACTAATAATTAAAATCAACTAAAATTAATTTGAACCCACTAGAATGCCTCGAAAAACCTTGAAGTTGAGTGACTAATGAATTAGAGATAATATGAAAAAATGGTAAAAATTTCATATTTTTTATCGGTACAAGTCCTATCGGTAGAACACATCATAGAATATCATTTTACCGATAGAATATCTCTTCCTATCGATAGAACACCTCACACAAGGCCGTTTTATCAGTAAAACATCATTTTCTATCAATAGAATACTAACAAATTCTCTTCTTCATTCGCGCTTTTTCTTCAACCCATTTCTCTCCATCTTACATCTCTTAACCACTTACTTATAAATTATAAACACCATTAAATGTATAAATTTTTCCTAATAACAGTACTCAATAATCAAAATTCATAAACTGGAATTGAAATCATTCATACCCAACTCTTCTAGGCAAAAACAATTAATCATAACATATGTTGAATATAGGAATAAAATTTACCTACTGAGAAGACCTCTTCTCCAAACCCACTAAGAATCTTAAGTAGGAGCCCATTGATTCTTTTTCTTTCTTTTTTTTTCTTTCTTTATTTCGCTTCCTTCCTCTCTCTCTCTCTCTCTCTCCCCCCCCCCCCCCCCCCCACCTACCTAAAATACACAAATACGTGTTCAGATATAACCCACACATACCAGACAAGTGTCGACGCACCCAAATTCACCCAATTACACTTTAACCCCCTATTATTCTGAATCCTTCTCATACGCACCTTTTAACTTACAGCAACTTAATAAATTATACCCAAAATTTTTTCCCCATTTTATCATTTATACCCATACACAATTTTTATCACAAGATTCAACCCCTAGGGTTTACTATTCAGAATATTTTCTAATTCTAACACTTTTCATAATTGAAATTTAACTCCTAAATTAATTATCATAAATTATAATTAGACCCTAACATTTTAATAAATGTTATGCAACATATGTCTGGGTGTTAAAAATGAGCACTAGTCAACTCTAACTCAACTCATTTAAATAATCGTATCATATCAAACTGACCTATTTATTTTCATGTCGTATTTGTGTTGACTTATGTAACTCTTGAATAAAAAATTTAACTCTAAGATTTAAGTTTTAAGATTCTATTACCACTTAATCGAACACAAACTCATACATTTTGTATAAATTAAAAATTAATTTAATAAATATAATAACAAAAATGAGTATAAACATCTTTTTTTTTCGTATAAAAATTATGCTAGTACTTGATAAAAAAAAATAACATCTTATTCTTATAAACATGTTAGTCATGTCAATTTTATGTTTAATACTGTCTAGATTCATTTATTATTTGTGTTCACAAATTATATTATTTACGGGTTCATGTCGAGAAATGATCACCTCTAACCCACTAATTTTGAATCATGTTTTTGCGTTGTGTCAGAAAATTGACAACTTTAATCCAAGATATGAAACCTTCGACTTGAACCCTACCTCAACCCGAACAACTCCAACTTTAGGCCAACTCGTGATTAAATATTTAAATTCGGATTTAAATTCGGCTTGAACTCGGGTTACACAATTCAAGTTGAACTCAAGTTTTTCATTAATCAAAACCAAATTGAACCAAAAATATGGACCAATTTTTTGTTCAACACCAAAATTAAACCTTAACTCTCATTAGTCAAAACTAATTAGAAAATATGAAAAAATAAATGTCACACGTGCAATAAACTTAAAACATCAGTAATAATGGATAAAGAGTGTGATTTTTTATTTTTTTTTTGTAATCAAGTTGAACCCCATTCTTGACCTAAAAATAAAGAAGTTGAACCCGATTCGATAAATTTGGGTTGAAATTTTTCGCTCAAAGTATTAAAACCTCAACCCAAGTACTAGAAAATTCAGGTTGAGTTCATGTTAGCCCAATCAGGTTACCCCCAAATTTCACACCAGACTTACTTGTTACTAGTAATACTCTTCATCCTTAGTGTTTTTATTTTGGATAGATTTCATATAGGGTCCCTGACATTTGCTCAAATAACACAGCCCCTGGCATTCTAAAAATAACACTGATACCCCAATTAGAGAACTTAACTATGGAAAGACTTATTTTGCCCTCTTTGACCAATCAAATTTGGTCAAAATTAGTCAAAACAAAAGTATCCAAATTTAGGCAAGTAAAATCGAAATCTTTAAACTTATATCCAAATTCCAATCCTTCTTCTTCATCTCCTCTTCCCTTGAAACCAAACGCATTCAACCCTTTTCATTCTGTCTTTCCCAAACTCATACCAGCCTCGAAGAATCAACCCACCAACACCTTCTAATTGAAATTTGCCCTTGTATTTTTCTTTTTACTCTGGAGAAATGGCCTTAAACACTGTGTTACCATTCTTTATACCTCAAGTGAGCATTGCACATACTTTATGTTCCATCTACGTCCAATGGCTAGTTTTGAGGTATTATGTCTCAATAGGACAGCCGGGTGGCCTATGGGGGTGCTCCCCCACCCCCGTCCCCTGCCACCGAAAAAAAAAATTAAAACAAAAGTTGTAGTACATATCATCAAGATAGAGAAATAATTAAGCATTTACCAGAATATAAATGCACACTATCAAGGTCTCTGCTTTGGGAGGTTTAGGTTCCATAGAATTGTCAAGAACCAATAAGCTTATCAGGGCTTAGCACAGACATCTATTATGTTCAACCTCATATTCATGGTTGAGAGTGCCATATAGTTTTTCCAGAATAGGGGTGGAAGGGTGATACTGAGGTGAAGTTGTGAAGGTGTCTATGTGAACTCTTCTTGCCATAGAAAAAGTTTATGGCAGTTGAAGAAAATGCACTACAATGACAAACTCCTAAAATTTAGAAACTGTGGCCAACATAACTCAAATATGCCACAACGACTAAATCCTTAATCGTATGTATGCCAGTATACATTTGTGCGTTATCTATGACTGTTAGAAGCAAATTTGTACAATGTGTAGTTATAAATTATATTAGCACATCAATTAATATACATGTTGAGCTATTTGGCACTGTTTGTTCCTAGAACATAGTGTGAAGAAAAAAAGAGATTAGGAAGGCAATTTTCACATCATGAGAAATCTGATGCATCAATCCAGTTTACTATAATGGACATTTTCCAAACTTGATCCTAGTGAAAGTTTAGAGAATAATCCTGGCCACATAAACCTTGGGATTTAACCGCTCTATGTCATTTGCGAATGATTTTATGCATCTAATGTTATAATGTAACCCTAACTCCAAAGGATTAGAACGATCCCGTTAAACAAAATACAAAGTTTATAGAATGAAAATGGCGTTCTCTCAAGGGGTATCAAACTTTCAATTTGGATCACAACACCTAATACAGGATGATCCGGCTGCTAAAATCCTAACTGCCAGTTTATAACAATCACAAGACCCCAAAACCAATGCTGAGGCAGAGCTATATAACAGAAAATTTAGCTAAAAATGGAACCTTCCTCTCACATCCAAGGATCAATTTCACCATCTTTATTTATAAAATACATTCTCACTTTTATTCTGTAAACTTTTTTCCTCAGAATCTATGCTAAAAACATACTTTAAAAGACATCATCAACACCATTTTAAGACTTAAAATTCTTTAAAAATTCAGTAGAGAAAAATTTAAGTAGCACCTTAAACAATAGTAGCCAAAATAAAAAATAGGACATATCTCTAGTATTGAATTAGTGATCTGATATACATAGATCCGAATAAAATTTAAACCCAATACAAAATTTCATTTTTTTTCCCAATGATCGAGAGAAGTAAAAGTAAATCAAGCACATAATTCTTGAGCAGTAAAATACCCACTTGCCACTATAAGAATAATGAGCAATGAAGTAACAATTACTGCGAATCTGTGGTAGAAAAGCTGAAGATCAAATATGCAGAACCCAGGAAAAGCAGCTACTTACGAACCCATTTCATCAGGGATCTTGATGGATCTCTGTCGCCGGCTCACTTGTTTCCATGGCTGAAGAACAGAATCATGGTACTTAGATGGCAATGCCATTGCTCTCCTCTGTCTCTTCTGCTTCGACTTTGCTTGAACTTGGACTTCTTTTTTTCCCACTTCTGGTTCTTTTTTCTCCAGAAAAATTTGGGTTATGTTCAGTTTGGTGAATCTGAGAGCTCTTCTTCTTCGCCTGATCACTCTTTTCTGTATATACGGCACTCCCACTACCGATCCTGATGCAACATGGTGAATTGCCTTCACCAGTAGATCAAGACCTTCGCAACGGGTTGAAGCGATTGATGGAAAAGAAGTACAATTTGATGGTACTGAAGAGGTCGAATCTGTGGATGATGCAAAAGAATGGGTGGTGATCAATGAGCATGATGATGAAGATGGCGAAGTAGATAAAGGAGGAGGAGGAGGAGGAGGAGGAGGAGGAGAAGAAACGGAGTTCATTGAAAATTTCCGAATCCTCATTGGGATTGATCCGGAAATTGAACCAGATCAAGCAATGATATTAAATGAGGAAATTCGCAGAGTTTTCAGAGGAATGGAGGATGGAAGAACAGAGAAAGGGAGATCTCGGGGACACATAGAGGTCGGCTTTCCGTATCATTTGTGTTGGGGTGAATTACATTTAGACGCCCTATTGTTTACAATTTCGCGCTTCGTCATCGTAAGTTTTTGGAGTTTAGTGCAATTAGTGGTTGGTTAAGAGCTATTTGATAACATTACTTAAAGCTTAAAATTGAATATTTTAAACATTTAATAAATTAAACTTGTTTAGTAACTTAAAACTCATATTGCTAATATTTTAAATAATTCATAAAAATAGGCTAAAATTTTAAATAACAAGTCACTTACTTATCACTTAATACTAAAACTATTAATTAGTAAAAATTTTATCAATTTTCATAATGAATAAATATACCCTCATCATCATTGTGTCATCGTCACTACCACCACCACCATTGTACCACCACCGTTGCCGCTACCACTATTATTATGTTACCATCACCATTGTCTCCACCACCATTGTGTCGCTGTCACCACTACTACCATTATATCACCACCACTTCCACCATTATACCATTGTTACTATCAACACCACTGTTATCATCACCAGTCATTATTATGCTACTATCATTAGCATTGCCACCACCACACCACCACTACACCATAGTGTTACTGCCACCATCACTATCATCATCGTTGTCGCCACAATTACCATTGTGTCACTGCCATCACTATCATTATGTCACCACTACCATTATGTCAGCACCATTACCAACACGTTCTCCACTACCACTATTTTATGATAGTGGCGATACGAATAAGGAAGTTGCAGAAAGACGATTAAAGAGAAAGATAAATTTAGAATAATAATAATTTTCAAACTTCACCTTCTTATATTTGTTAAATGGTTTGATTAATTCAATACTTAAATTTTAATTGATAACAAATAGTCTACGAATTAAAAAATTCAGCATTCAACACTTAAAATTCAACAATTAATTTTCAGTATTCAACTTTCAATTTTACCAAATATAACCTAAATAAGGGATGAAAATACTTTAAATTTCAGACCTGCGTTTTGTAAGACGTTGCACTAAGATTATGATCAGCCGAGCCAGGTTATGGCAAGTTGGGCACTTGCCCCCTAATTTTTTGATCACCTTGATATATCTAATTTTAAAGTATTATATTATTGTTTAATTTATTGCATTTGAACCCCTAAATATTTGGTATCTTCTATAGTGATTCAAGTCTTTTTTATTTTTAGGATTTTTTACACTTTGTACCTTGAAAGATTTTAAAATTTTTATTTTATATCCTTAAAAATTAAATTTTTGTATTGCACCATCAATGTATCAAAAATAATATAATATTACCTTTTCTGTTAGCTTCTGTTATTTTTTGTTATCAAAAATCAACTTATTGACACTGAAAGAAAAACTAATGAAAAACTAACAGAAACATCATATTATAACATTTTAATACATTGAGGGTCTAATGTGAAAATTTTAATATTTAAAAATATAAGATAAAAATTTTAAAATCGTTTAGGGTATAAAATATGAGTTATCCATATTTTTAGGTTAAACTTCATTTACACGCCCTGTAGGTATCCATATACTTAATGACACCCCTGCTTCTTCTAAAATTTTACTGCACCCCCTTGTAGATTTTATTGTTGAATTAATGACACCCCTTACTGTTAATAGTTGTCTCTGCCAAACGAGGTTTTCCTCACACCCAGTCTCCCTAAAATCTTATTTTCATAACCCAGTCATTTTTGAACTTATTTCTCAAACCCAGCTTATTTTTGAAAACGTCATTTTCATTGACGCCTTCGGGTGTAAAAATGTCATTTTCAAAGACGATTTAAAGTTGAATATTTTTGTCCACAAACGTCATTATGAATGACGTTTTTCAAATCGTCATTTGTAATGACGTTTTTTAACAATAATTTTTAACGGATCCCTAACAGACATGAAAAAAAATATAAGAAAGAAAACGTCAAGTTGAATGACGTGTTTGAAAACGTGTTTACGTTTTCTTCACTTTTACAGACTAATGATGTTTTTCTACCCCTTAGCAGCCTACATTGATGTGTTCTACCCCTTAAGCCTTTTTACATTGATATTTTCTATTCCACTTTAGTATGTCTCATACCATAATTCAGCAAACAAAACATAAAAAAATAAATAAATTTTAGAATTTAATTCCCTTAGCGTTTTATATTGACGTTTTTTACCCCTTAACCTTTTACATTGATGTTTTCTACCCCAAATGTCATAAAAGCTAAATAACGTAACCTCACCTTATGTTTCTTCACATTATGATTCACCAGAAAAAAATTAAATAAATTTTGGAATTTAGTTTCCTTTTCATAAAAATTTTAACTAATTTTATAATTGAAAATAAAATTCATAAAAGCATAATTTAATTTCATATTATATTTTATAAAAAAACTTAAAATCGTGTTTTGAAAGCACAATTCTTCTATCAAAAAGTATGTTTTGTATATGTTAAAAATATCAATATTATAATCTCACTTTTCACATCATAAAAGTATCCTAATATGGAGGAGCTTTTCCCCAAACCTAGTCGGCTCTAAAACTTTATTTCTCAAACTCTAGTTTATTTTGTAAAAACGTCACTTTAAAGGCCATGGTTGTATATGTTAAAATAGTATATATTCTAATTATATGTTATAAGTTCATCGAACATTTATAGTTGACCTACAAAATTGTGTTGAACTTTAAAATATTAAAAATATTACTTATACATTACAACATAACAAATTTATTACATCAAACTGTAAGCAATACAATCTGTTAATATTTTGGTTGATGTAGAAAACAACATAGTGTTGTGTGAAGAAGTTGTATGTTAGTGTTGTTCTGTGTAGATCATGTTATTTTAGTGTTAATTTTTACATGTGAAATGTAATGTACGTGTAATGTTGAAGTCAATTAGATTTGTTATGATGGTGAAGTTATGTATATGACAATTTGATTGTAGAATATTAGAACAAAACATCTTTGTATAAATGACAATGTATATACAAAATCAAACATTAGTACACAGTATAACAAAAAAAAATGCATCAAATACATGAATATAATATCATGTCCCACACACAGGTGGTCGCCTACGTCGCTTCGGCTGTATGCGAACGTCCTGCTCAACATCTGTGATACATCCTGTGTCACTTGTGACACATCGACATCATCATGATGATGTGCATGCTGTGCACGCCCTCTGCCTATCCCTCGCCCCCGTCCCCGACCTTGTCGTCCACCTTTAACTCATGGCTCGACTCGCACAAGGCCTGCATTGACAACTGTAGGATCCTGTG